AGGCAACAAAAATAGGAGACCAAGCACTCAGAGAGAAACTCTGTAGCACCTTGCAATGCAGAGGCCTGCAGAAAGCAGCCCTTGAGCTCAGAGCACCACAGGTTTTTCCCCTGGAATCAAGTAAATTTTTGTGGAGTTGAATGTTCTACAAGTTATATAATTATATAAGTGCTTAGGAAACTTCTATTTGCTTAATTTTAAGCTTTCTGAGAAGTAGACTACAATACCAAACTTTTAAACATGGTGTTCATTCTCGTCACTCGTTATCCGTAAGTTCTCTATTTCCTGCTCTGAAATATTAAGAAATACTGCAAATCACTTTGAAATCAAATCACCTGGAAGAAGCTGAGATCCAACAATACAGAACTCCATATAGCATAGGGTTAATGAGTAACAAAAAGCAAGGATAACAATGCCTTGACAAGTATTTAGCCCCCAAATTGCTTGACAAAACTAATCATAATGCTTGGTGTTTTTTTCCCCTTCCAACTTATGTGTCAAGGCTTGTTCCTTCAAGCAGGAAAAATACCTTATGAAAAGAACTGCCTTAAGAACTATCAAATAGTAACTTTAACAATGTAGTTAATTTTTCTCATTTCATTTCATGCTAGGTGTATTAATTTTAATCTATCCAGCCTGAATCACCTCTGAAGGAGCTTTTAATATTGACTTTTGCTCTACATTAAACATGCTTCTTGACACAGTGTGCTTGGTCAAACCGTGCTTCTGGGTAGTGCTATATGCTCAATAAGGAAGTTTCTATTTGTATAATTTCTCACTTGTACCTCCACTGAAACACTGGCTCCCTGCACAAGAATACCATCCAACTAAAACAAATTAGAAGAACTGCCGTTTTAGAAAAACAACCAAACGCTGTGGTGCTAAGGTGCAATGGCACCAAACATTCAGGACCTTGAGTAAGCCATCAGGAGACACTTTCTAATAGTCCTGCAAGTGTTCTGAAAACACCACTTGATCAAGGCATTGGGCAGAGGTTCATCAACCACCAGGCTCTGACAGCTCAAGCATCAAAGAAAGACATTGGATTTCAAGACAGAGATATGAACTGTCACCTGAGATGGTGAAGGTTTCACCACACACAGCCCTCAGCCACTGAGATCTATCCCAACTCACACCCATCATCACCAGACTACAGCATAATCACCTTTGTTGCTGTGGTCCCCATTTAAGTATCAGCCAAAATTAAGGATGAAGAAGTTCTCCTGCCACATAGCGAAGGACCCTATCAGACAAACAGAAGATGACTATGGCATTAAGGTGGAATCACACCTAGCTCTGCAGATGGCTGCACAATCTGGTTCTCTGCTGCTCAGGCACTGCCTGCAAAACCAGAAGAGCACATTCCAATCACTTCCAGAGCAATTCAGAACTATTACATAGGCCAGTGGATTCTGATCGAAAGACCCGTATTATCCCAGCTGACCTAAGAAAGAAGCCACCGCTTCTGACCTGACCTGAACACAAAGCATTTCATTCTGAGAGAAATATTGCCTTTCTCACTCAAAAAACCTCAGTAACTGAATTAGATGTGAGCAACACCTTAGACACACAAGGTCTACCTACATTTTACCCTTAAACTCTTTGAATGAGTCTGGGACCAAAAATCAAGTTCACCTATCGCAGTCAAGTGCCTGTAGCCCAACACAACTGATTCTGCCAGGAACTTTAGTCAAACGCAATTTCTTCCTGACAGCAACTGAGGGACAGACATTGGTTCTTATCTCAACTCCTTTGTAGGATTTAACATCACTGCCCCTGAGCTATTTCTGCCTTGCCAGTGAGGAAGGAGAAGTAACCAGTGCATGGAACAGCTCGACTCCTTCCTGGAGGATGATAACATGGAACCTAACCAAAGCATTGCCCAGAACATTAGAAACTACTGAGAATGACTGGGAATACAGTAACTAGGTAAGGCAAAGGTTGATATAATCTCCATTGCAGATGTCCAACTTCAGCTGATCACACAGAGGAGGGGGAGGCTGCTGGATCATCCCTTGCTGGTACAAGATGCTCTTCACACAGTTGTTGCTCCTGGAGGCTGCTGCCCTTTCCATCTAGCTGGCAATCCTAAACTCTGAAGCACTGCAGCAGACTGAGCATGGTATACTAGCTGAAAAAATAAGCTTAAATGCTGTGCTTGAATTTTTAAGAAGTCCCCAACTTTATTACAGCCAGCATGTTGATAACCTACCATTTAAACAAACACTCAAAGGGACTTGTTTTCTGCTTCAGTTTATCAAATGCTAGAGTTACAGGATTTGCAACTGAAACCAGAGTCTGTTCAAATGTTGAACCAGCTTTAGACAGCAGTAGCTCCTGTCAAGGAGGTGCAGAGAGAGCACTTTCCTCCTTTCAGTTTGTTCAGCTATTACAACAACCTAGAGAGAAAGGCTGTATTTCCCCAAGACGCCAAAATCTGATGTTACCAGCTCCAAGATTTCCACAGGCACAAATCAAGCATCTGTATTCCTTACCAATAATCATTAACACTTTCTTTATTAAGGTCACTTTAAACACAGGTTTTCCTCAAAATATTTATACCGTAGCTTAACTAGAAGCCTTTGTTCTTCTCCTCCAGTTCCCACCCTTAAACTACACTTCAAGTAGAAGACAGTTCCCAAATTCTCACTGCCACAAAGCCAAAAAAAAGCTACATCCTGTAATTGCACATTTCTAATCCTGCTTACCTAACCTTAGTAAACTAAAAATACAAAACAAAATGAAGCTGGATATTTCATCATGTCAAGAAAAGCGAGGAATGAAACAGATGCAAGGTGAGCACTACTTCAGAGCAGCATATACTATCAATACATCATTGAAGTCACTCATCAAATAAAGTTTGGGTATTAATCTGATCTCTGAATGACTTCATAAGCCACGTCTAATGCATCTGAAAGCCTAATACAAAGAGAGTCATGAACATCACTTCTCCCTAGGGACAGAATAAGGGTCCAAGACCACTTTTTCAGTGGCTCAGAAGTCAGAATACATAACCAAAGATCAGATGCTACAAAAACCCACCCCACAGAGCTCCTCTTGGAGGAAGGATGAGAGAAACAACACACAAGAGACTTCAGCCATGCTACTTAAAGGGAATACTGCTGCTCTGGAGGGGTGGAGGCACCACCAGACCTCAGCCTCTCAAAACAAGTACCACAGGACTGGTGAAAAGAATTTAGAAGAAAGGCACAACAGTTCAAGGACATTAAATACTCAAAAAGACAACACAGTCGCAATACTGAGGTAAGGCAACTGGAAACCTTGCCTAAATCTATGCTTATTAACACACATCCCCAAATTATTTCACAGGCCGCTTCAGGTTCTTTTCAGGAACAACTGCAAACACACACACCAGAGAGTTCCCCAACCAAGCAAACATATTTTGATCCGTTATGATTTCTTTGAAAAAAAATGGATGAGTAATTTAAGTGCAGGAAGAGGTCATGAGACCATTCGGATGTGAAGATGACACTGTTACCAACCAGCGACTGGAGCGACTTCCTGAATAAGTAATAATGGAGGTGAGTCTAAGAATACACCTATCACACCTACATGAGTAAGCCAGCCAACTCATTACAAAAGGCAAGCCTTGTGCCAAAGCCTTCCCTTCCTCCCAAACAATGAGGCCAAACTGAACGTGACTCAAATCTATTATTCCCCAAGCTACAGGTTATTTTGGTTTTGTGGAACAAAGCTTTTAAACCTTGACCTGGAGAGGCCAAGAGGCACTAAAGGTACATGTTAGTCAAGCAAAGACACCATTCAAAATTTTCTTCAGTTTGACAGAAGCCAAAGGGCATGGAATAAGAGATGCAGGAGACACAACTAAAACAGTTAACTGCTGGGAGAAGCAAGCTGGTGGGGACAATATTTTGCCAGAGACCAAGCAGACATCAAGTGCAGAGAAGTGTGCCTGATACAGCATATCTTCCGCACGCTCTAAGGTCTTCCAGTTGCTTTTTTTAAGAAAGAAAAGTGCAACTCCTCCTTCTCCAGTTGTTTTGATAATTTAAGTCTGCTCCCTTCAACTCTTTTCTGGGATAGCTGCGTCAGATTTTTTACTTGCCGTATGTACAAGAGTGGAAATAACAAGCACAAAAGTTTTTTTGTATTAACAGGAAGGCTGAGAGAGGAATTGAAAGCATTTATCTGCCTTCACCCATTGCGTGTTGCTGCAGCCCTTTGAAGGCTGCCTTCTGAAATTTTGGAGAGGAAGAAAACAGGAGTAGAAAAAATAATCATGTAAAACAGCCCTGAAAACCATGAAGTTCTGAGGAAAACACAGCCTTTATCCTGAATTAGCCATCGATGAGTGAAACTATCGAGGGACAGCAGGAAAGTCCCTTCCTTTGAAATAAATATCATCATAGAAGTACAGAATGGTTTGGCTTGGAAGGAACCTTAAAGATCACTCAGTTCCAACCCCTTGCCATAGGCAGGGACACTTTCCACTAGACCAAGTTGCTCAGATCCCCATTGAACCTGGCTTGAACACTTCCAGAGACAGGCCATCCACAACTTCTCTGGGCAACCTGTGCCAAGGCCTCCCCATCCTCAGAGCAAAGAATTTCTTCCTAACTCTCTTTCAGTTTGAAGCCATTACACATTGTCCTATCACTCCATGCTCTTTTTAATAGTCTTGCTCCATCCTTCCCGTGTTCCCATCAGATCCTGGAAGGATATGGGAACACGGAACAGATGATCTCCAGAGGTCCCTTCCAACCGCCACAGCCCTGTGATTCTGTGACATACACAGAGAGCAGAGCCACGGGGGCACCCTGGGGCGGGAGGGGCGAACTCTCGCCCTTCCCTGAGGTCCTACAGGAGGCTCTTCGGGGCTAAAAGAGCAGATTCCCAGCGCGGCAGCGGCCGAGGCGCGGCCCCCCCGCCTTGCCCAGGCCGAGCCCGAGCCCCCTCCCGCAGGCCCGGCCCCGGCCCGGCCCCACCGCGCGGCACGGGGGGCGGGGGGAAGGCCCTACCTTGAAGTACCCGCCCTCGTACAGCGTGTTGGGGGGGCCGAAGATCGCCACCTCCCAGTTGTAGAGGTCGGACTCGTCGACCAGGGTGATGCGGAAGCCCTCGACCGGCTCCTCCTGCAGCGACTTCAGCTCCAGCATCAGCGCCTTCTGCGAGCTGCTCATCTGCTGCTGGGCCATGGCGCGGCGCGGCCCCCGCCGCGGCCGCCCCGCGGGTGCCGGTGCCGGTGCCGCTGTTCCCGGTGCTCCCGGAGGTGCCGGAGCCGCCCCCGCCCCTCCCCGCGCTGACGGACCCGCCGCCGCCACTTCCTTTTGTGACGGCGCCGCTCGCGCTGACCTCAGCGCGCCGCGCCGGACACGCCCCCGCCGCGCGCGGGACACGCCCCCGCCGCCCAGTTGGACACGCCCCCCCACACCGCCGCCGCGCGGCACGCCCCACCCTCTTCGCTCCCCCCCCCTCACCTTTCGCCGCGTGCGCTTAAAGGGGCCGCGACACCCCCCCCCCCCCAGCACCAGCACAGGAGAGAGCCGTCACAGGGGAGGGGGGGTCACAGAATCACAGAGTCACTTAGGTTGGAAAAGACGTCCGAGATCATCCAGTCCAACACGTAACCGATCCACCACCACTGAGTGCCATGTCCAGGCTTTCCTTGAACACTCTCCAGGGACGATGACTGCACCACCTGCCCAGGCAGGGCAGCCCCTTCCAGTGTCTGATCACCCTTTCTGTGGAGAAGTTTCTCCCGATGGAACCTAAGCCTCCCCTGGCGCAGCTCTAGGCTATAAAAAAAGACATTAAACTGTCAGAGAGCGTCCACAGAGATGGTGAAGGGTCTGGAGGGGAAGCCGTGCGGGCAGCGGCTGAGGGCACTTGGTATGTTCGCCCTGGAGGACACTGAGAGGAGACCTCATTGCAGTTACAACTTCCTTGTGAGGGGAAGAGGAGGGGCAGGTACAGATCTCTTCACTCTTGTAACCAGTGACGGAACCCGAGGAAATGGCATGAAGCTGAGTCAGGGGAGGTTTAAGTTGAATATCAGGAAAAAGTGTTTCACCCAGAGGGTGGCTGGGCACTGGAACAGGCTCCCCAGGGAAGTGGTCACAGCACCAATCCTGACAGAGTTCAGGAAGTGTTTGGACAATGCTCTCAGGACTTGGTGGGATTCTTGGGGTGTCCTGTGCAGTGCCAGGAGTTGGACACGCTGATCCTGATGGTTCCTTTCCAACTCAGCATATTCTATGATTCTGTGAGTTTATGTCCTCTCATCCTGTCACTGGTTGCCTGGGAGAAGAGCTCACCCCCCACCTGGCTACAACCTCCTTTCAGGTCATAGAGAGCAATAGTGTCTCCCTGGAGCCTCCTCCAGACTAAACACTCCCAGCTCCCACAGCCACTCCTCATAGAACATGCACTCCAGACCTTTCACCAACATCTTCACTGCCCCTCTCTGGACCCACTCCAGCACCTCAATGTCCTTATGAATGGAGGAGCCCAGAATTGGGTACAGCACTCGAGGTGTGGCCTCACCAGTGCCCAGTACAGGGGAAGAATCATTTCTCTGGTCCTGCTGCCACACTGTTGCTGATACAGCCTTCTTGCCCACCTGGACACACTGCTGACTCACGTTGACCAGCACCCCCAGGTCCTTTCCCACTGGGTATCTTTCCAGTCCCACTACTCCCAGCCTGGAGCACTGCAGGCAGTTGTTGTGATCCAAGTGCAGGACCCATCACTTGGCCTTGTTGAACTTCATACGGTTTGTCTTGGCCCATCAATCCAGCCTGTTCAGATAGTCACAGGTTGGGGGTGAGTACAGCGGGGTGTGGTTGGCCCACCGACAGGCACCCATGATCATAAACCAGCCGTTTTTGTACAGAGAATGGTTTTTGAGGAGTGAATTTGCATGACCAAGGGTCCCCTAAAAATCCTGCAGCATCCCCCCAGGAGCAATAGGACACCAACAGGCATCTAGCAGCCCCCCACAAAACATGTGTTGTTTTCACATTCTCCATGGACATGCAACATGGTCACACCAGAACATGCCGTTTTGAGCCTTCCTCCCATTCCCCAGCTGGGTTAAGAGTGAAAAATGGTTGCAAAGATGTTGAGGTATATCAACCAGTGAACATGAGCCAGCACCTGTTCCTTAGCAAGTCTTTAACGAATAACATAAATAATATTCATTGTAAAAATAAAGAAAGAAAAATAACAGTGATTGTCCAGGAGGAGGACAACCCATTTGTGCTTGGCATTTCTTTCATCCTTCTGCACATGGCAGGGCTTAGGCCACCACACAGAGGCACCTGCTCCTTGGACAAACAGGTTGGATGATGTGTCCCAACATCCCTATAGCATTACATAGCTTTAACCTCCTTCCTTGCCCCCATCACCTCTCACGTCTCTCATGCTTTCCCATCCTGATGACAACCCTGTGGGCAAGGATGACCGTTGGATCAATCTCCTGCATTTTTCAGAGCCATGGACTTTCCCAAAGTCATGGGATTGACAGTGAGGGCCACCTGCATTGGTGAGAGATCATGCAGCTGGGCCAGTTTGGAAGTCTATACTTGGCACTTGGCAGCCATGACTCTGGCTCCTTCTCCGTACCTTGGCCCAGAGTGGAGTGCAGGAGGCAGATGTTTTTCCCGAAGTACCAGCTGCTACCAGGACAAATTTGCTGTTGCCCAGTGACAAGCATGGCATCCTCCCCCTTATTCCTGTGGCTGCTCTTCTTGTCTTTCTCCTGTCTCTTGAGCTTTACCCCATTCCTCTCTTCAAAGATGCTCCAACACTGGCAGTGGTACCTGGTCCCAGGCTTGTGACTGCCTCCAGGCTGTAAAGTACTCCAGCCCTTGTAAAATCCCTTCCCACTCTGGAAAATATTCCTATGGGGACTGGCATTGCTTTTCTCATGAGCTGAGACAAGCTCTTGCTCAGTGTCATAGGGGCAATATGGATAAACATCCCTTGTCCATTCACAGCTTGCCTGGCTATGCTGAAAAAAAATGTGTGTTCCCCTACAAATGCCTCCCTGCAGGTAAGGTCAGCCACTGTTTCTCATTCTTTACCACCTTGGAGTGAGCTCAGATTTACAGAAAGCTGCTTAATTCAGCTCTTGCATCCTCAGATGGGGGTTGGAGGGCTAGGACATGAAACACTGTTTGTCAGAGTAGCTCCTTGGTGGCTGGGAAATACCATGCTCAGTGTGTTTTCTGGTGGAAGTTCAGTCCCATGTTCTTTTTATTTATGGCAATAGAATAGAATAGGAAAGAATGGACCATTTCTGTTGAAAGAGACCTACAACTGCCTGGCCAATTCATAGAATAGAATCATAGAATCATAGAATCAGCCAGGTTAGAAAGGACCTCTGAGATCATCAAGTCCAACCCTTGATGCACTACTGCCGTGGTTACCAGACCATGGCACTAAGTGCCGCATCCAGTCTCATCTTAAAAACCTCCAGGGATGGAGAATCCACCACCTCCCTGGGCACCCCATTCCAATGCTTGATTACCCTCTCTGTAAAGAATTTCTTCCTAATACCTAACCTAAACCTCCCCTGGCACAGCTTAAGACCATCCCCTCTTACTGAGAGCTGCCTGACAGAAGAGACCAACCCCTACCTGGCTACAACCTCCTTTCAGGGAGTTGTAGAAAGTGATGAGGTCTCCCCTGAGCCTCCTCTTCTCCAGGCTAAACAACCCCAGCTCTCTCAGCCTCTCCTCGTAGGACTTGTGCTCCAGTCCCTTCACCAGCCTCGTTGCTCTTCTCTGGACCTGCTCCAGCACCTCAATGTCCTTCCTGAACTGAGGGGCCCAGAACTGGACACAGCACTCGAGGTGTGGCCTCACCAGTGCTGAGTACAGAGGAAGAATCACTTCCCTGCTCCTGCTGGCCACACTGTTCCTGATCCAGGCCAGGATGCCATTGGCCTTCTTGGCTACCTGGGCACACTCTGGCTCATGTTCAGCTTCCTGTCAATCCAAACTCCCAGGTCCCTTTCTGCCTGGCTGCTCTCCAGCCACTCTGGCCCCAGCCTGTAGCACTGCAGGGGGTTGTTGTGGCCAAAGTGCAGGACCCGGCACTTGGCCTTGTTGAACTTCATCCTGTTGGAATCAGCCCAACTCTCCAATCTGTCCAGGTCCCTCTGCAGAGCCCTCCTGCCTTCCAGCTGATTGACACTCCCCCCCAACTTAGTGTCATCTGCAAATTTGCTGATGGTGGACTCAATGCCCTCATCTAAATCATTGATAAAGATATTAAACAGGACTGGGCCCAACACTGATTCACTGATTCAGGGCTCACCAAAAGTTCAAGCCTGTTTTTAAGGGCACTATCCAAATGTCCCTTAAACACTGATAGGCTGGATGCATCAACCACCTCCCTAGGAAGCCTGTTGCAATGCCTGTCCACCTTCTCTGCAAAGGAATGCTTCCTGATGTCAAGTCTAAACCTCCCCTGGCACAACTTTGAACTATTCTCATGTGTGCTGTCACTAGATACCAGGGAGAAGAGCTCAGCACTTCCCTCTCCAATTCCCCTCCTCAGGAATCTGTAGAGAGCAACACCCTCAGCACCTGCTTTCTCCAAACGAGACATGCTCAAAGTCCTCAGCTGCTCCTCACAGGATACTCCTTCCAGCCCTTTCACCACCTTTGTTACCCTCCTTGGGACACATTCAAGGATGTTCACATACTTCTGAAATTGTCTTGAGTTGATGGACATAACACATGCTGTGACCTTCTGTGTTGGTGCCAGCCACCAAAGACCTGCTCTCATAACAGGGCATCCCAGCCTGCTGGTGAAACATGGATTTGCTCATGCTCGGAGGAGAATGTGCAGGAGCTGAGCTCTTTTGGGATTGCACTGCCCCTATTTCTATGATAATCAAAACATCTTTCCTTGCAGCCAGCCTCCAGCACAGGCTTTGTCTGAACCAGCCTAACGCTGGGAGAGATGGGAGAAGCAAAGTTTGGAGTTATTCAGGATTTATCTCTGCCTGCTGCCTGTCTCGAATGTTAATGAAAGAGGTAATCATGCAAGGCAAAAAGTAAAGCATGCCCTGGTGTACTCAACAGGGCTGGCTGAAAATTTTCCACTGGGTCTGCTTTTAGCGAGAATATCGGTCTTTTTGTCTCCGAGTTTTTTCCCCCCTCTCCTGCAAAAACATTCAATGCTCAAAGAAAATAGAAACTGTTGAAGCAACAGAATATTTTGAAGCCTGGGCAGCCTGGCAGCCCCCTCCAAAGCTCCTGCCTGCATTTCTGCCTGTGCTCCCAGGGAGGCTCAACTGCTCTTCCTAGTGTCCCCTTCCCTGGGCCTAGGCTGTCCTG